GAAGGGGTTAAAAGAGACCTCCCTCGCGGTTCCTCTGTCGCATTTCACACGTGACTCGTGGCAGCTTGGAAAGGAAAACGAAAGATTTCGTGTGATCGCACCTAGATCGATCAGTCGGGGAAGGAGGGGACGAAGAGAGAGATCGTGTGTATTATATGAAAGTGTAAAATTAGAGTACGGTGTTCGTCTGTATTCTCCCCTTGTTTCTGCTGCATAGAACTTGCCAGGGAACTCACTACTCACGGGTCTCGTGGATTCGTTCAATGTGATATAGCACACACACACACACACACACACCACACATGAAGCCAGAAAGTACAGTGAACCGATTATTTATAATCGTAGGCCTTCGATGATTGAACTTGCCGTGAGGACACCTTTCGTTTACCTAGAAATTAAGAGAAGGCCGACACGAACGTGTCTTTTTATTCGGATCACTTGGAATCCCCGTGGCTAGCCTATTGTTATAAACAAACGAATGTTCAGAGGAGAGTGTTAGGCGTAAACTATTTTCCAAACCCGAGGAGTCGTCTCTCGGTCGAGAAGAGAAAGGGAACGGCCTGTAACGCGTGTAACTTCCTCGAGGGTGCGTGTGTGCGTGGGTATACGAGAGGAGATGCTGTGTGCGAGCTACGTCGGCCGCAGCGGACGCGGTACTCGTGGCGCAGGGGCGGAGCCAGTCGCCGAGCCAGTCGCGCGCCACAGTCGACTGTGCGCGCGGGGAGGGCGTGGTCCTACGAGTCCGCCCACTCGGACGGGAGTGCCAGGTCCCCTGCGGCCGAGGTACCTATGACAGTGCTTCGCGAGGAATGAAAGGGATCAGCTGGACTCGTGACCTTAGTTTCTTTCGTTGGACGTTCTGTTCGTACCTTCGCTATTTGTGGACGCCACCTGTCAACCCTTTGCGGCCGAGCACTGGCACAATCACTTCTAGCTTCTGTATCTAAATTCCAATAAGAGTGTGTAGTTTTTTCTAGGGCGTCCGAGCGACTCAGCTTTTTATGGCGAGGCTTTCCAACGGTTCAGACGGTCCTCGTCCGCAAAGGGTTGAAAGGGCAATTCAGCATCGACGTTGCAATTGTAATCACGAACGTTACACACCGAACGCTTTAATTAAGGAACGTTCTCGTCTCCCCTCGGTTTGTCTCTCTTTTGTTGAATATTATTCTTCGGAAGCTCCTTTCTGTTCCACCAATGTTCCCTGTTTTCAACGATTCGGCTCGATCCCCCGGTACCCGGTACCGATCTCCAGTTTCTCGTGTGTCCAGCTGCAATCATTGTCCTCGGTGCAGAGGACGGTCCATTCGAATGATTTCATCCATCGATTATCTTCCCGTTCTATTTTTCTCCTGTTATTGTTACTGTTATAATTTCCGGAGACTCATCGATTCCGCTCACGACTGCGACCATCGTTGAGCGACCGGCTCTTGCGAGGCCCGCCGAGCGACGACAGTTTCGACCCTCCTCGCGCCGTCCCGATGACGGGAATTGTCGTCGCGCCGAGTGCGCGCGCGGTTCGTCCGGCGATCCGACAGCGAGAACACGCGTCCTCCTCGAGGACCGATTATACGCGACTCGATGTAAACCAACGGAGACGACGCTTCTCGGGTCCCGATAGACCCGATATATCACGGAGAGGGATGAGATGCAAACGCCGGCGCGACAGCGACTTGCGTTCCGTTCTACGACACTGTGTTACTCCTTTGTAATCGAGGACCGTAGCCGGGACAAATGCAATTGATCGCCGAACAGATCGTCTCGGATCATCTCGGCGACTCGATGATTTTGTTCCGATTATGGTTGCCTCTCTTTGCACCGGTCCGACACTTGTTGATATTTTTTCTTTTTTGAACGTGTTAGTGAAATTTATTTATCGAATGTAAAACGAAATGATATTACAAATACTTTATAATAGTAAATTGATCAACAAACACATCTACTCTGGTTGCATTTGTGATTTAATGTCCCTGGAGGGTAGGCGGTAGGGCTTGGGCTGGTTTTCCGTTGTCGCGGCTGAGCACGAACTGAACGAACGTTTGGGAGTCCGTCGACGTTGTCGAGGGCAGAGGTGGGATTTGTAGTGACGGTTGTTTGAATTCCACAGAAATCCGGATACTGGTGTGCCATCTCTTCTGCTACTCGGTGTCTTGGGCTCGGTGTGGCTCGATGACGGACTGGAGAGTGAATACAGTGAGGGAAGGAGATAGATACAGGTCGAAGAGGTGCTACGTGTGAAGTTTAGATATGGAATGAAGGATGTTTTAGTTGAGGGAAATTTGATTTTAACTTGTTAATTGTACTGGTGAATTGCTGAGATTGCGCTGATTAAAATGAGCACAAACACGATGGGAATCGGACCAGGTTTATGGATTCGGTGGAAACGGACCTTTAAGTTCGTTAATTACATGAAATTCCTGAAACTAGTCCGATTTACGTCGTGTTTGGACTCATTTTAATCAGCGCAATCTCAGCAGTTCATTGACACTACATTTGAGAAGGTAACGTTAAAATTACTGCAATTGAAATTTTCAATACTCGATGCTCAACGGACTGTGTCTATCTCACTTCCACTCACTATATCAATTCTCTGCCTTCGTCAGGCTGCGCTCGAGTCAATTCGTGGAAGCAAATAGCTTCCTCCTGTGTTCTCTGCTCGGTTAAATTCCAATACTGGCAACCGAAATTGTGAAATTTAAGCGAACATTACTGTAATGCATTCTCTAGCGCATCGGTTGCTCGTGGCCCAGTTTCAGGTGATATTAAACGAGCAATATAAATACATCAGGGAGTTTGGGAAAGGAATTTCTACTGCAGTGTCTTATTCGTTAATGAGATTACTTTATTAATTAAGAAATATAAGAAATTTCTCATATGTTAATGGAATTATTTTATTAACTAAGAAATAAGAAATTTCTCATAGGTGAATGGAATTATTTTATTCGTTAAGAAATATAAGAAATTTCTTATTCATTAATGAGATTATTTTATTCATTAAGAGACAGTAGTTACTTCTTATTAATTATGAATAAGCTATATAAAATGTTTAATTATATATGGCTATAATTTTGGGGCTGAACTGATAATAGTATTGCAAAACGAATTTATTGAAATTGCATTATTGATATTGCAAATTGAAATTATTGATAATTTCATTACGTTATTATTCATTTTACAAACTATATAAGAATATCATTAAAAGAGAATCAATTGTTGGCACAGAGGGTCATAGAAATTTATATTATCAAATTTTTGTGTACCTAATTTATTCCTGAAATTTTGTTCCTTTGCTATAAATAAATTTGTTGATAATAATAGTCAACTTCTTCAAGTATATCATTGAAACTATTTGTTCTTTGTTTACTATAATAGTATAAAAATAGACGGGAAAATATTATGAAACCAAATTACTAAATTAAATGTAATTATTATAATTTCTTTAATTAATCGTTATTCCGTTACGGTTGATTAATGAAAAAATTCTTGTTTTCTCACACTTTTCAGTTATTTGGTTTCAAAGTATGTGTCCCATGAATTGTGAACATGAAAGATAGTGCAAAAGTTAATTAATTAATTCGATACTATTATTTAATTGACGCTATATTTCTATTTATAATCAGTGCCATGATGATAGTTTACTTTGCAAGCATTCAAATAACGACAAAGCTTTTGAAAAATTATAAATAAATTCCTGTATTTGTACAGATACAACAATAATGATAATTCCATTATTTAACACTAAAACTAATTGGTTCATTTTAGAATTTTTACTTTGCAAGTATTTAAATAACAATAAGCTTTTAACAAATTGTTAGATAAAATCATGTATTTCTACAGATTGGCCATTTTATAATGTTTACTTTGCAAGTATTTAAATAATAATAAGCTTTTAACAAATTGTTAAATAAAATCATGTATTTATACAGATTAGTCCATTTTAGAATATTTACTTTGCAACTATTTAAATAACAATAAGCTTTTAACAAATTGTTAAATAAAATCATATTTCTACAGACTCCTTCATTTTAAAATTTTTAATTTGCAACTGTTTAAATAATTATAAAATAAAATCATATATTTCTACAGATTGGTTCATTTTAGAATATTTATTTTACAACAATTCAAACAACAACAAAGCTTTTAAAAAATACAAAATAAATTCCTATATTTCTACAGATTGGCCACTTTAAAATGTTCACTTTGCAACCACTCAAACGACGAGAAATCCTCTAAAAAACCACAAAATAAATTCCTGTATTGACACAGACAAAAACAGTTCACCCATCGAATCTCGAGAAACCTGATCTAATTTTCGAAGTGTGAAAATACCTCTCAATCGATTCTCGGGGGAGCCGAACAAGGAATAGATAAGCTCGCCTATCGAACGTTCGCAGGCCAGACGGATTCTGAGCTTCGTCAGTTAACACTATCCTCTAAGCCGAGGTCGCAGCTAAGCGGGGCTACAGAGAGTCTAGTCACGAGCGAAAATACAAAGGGAGAATACCTCCGAGGAGACCGCTAAAAAACGATTCTCTTGGATTCCGACTAAAAACGGTTCCGCACTAGAAATGGAGAGCTTCCCGGCAGAAGAGCTTGAGAGAAAACCTTGAAGGCAAGCGCAACGAGGAAAGCGAATCGCAAAATAAAGGATCTGGGATATCGATGAAAGTATTGGAATTGTACTAAGCCAGTTGTTAGACCTAGCCTTTGTCCAAGCGTGTTCGAATCAATCCCCCAAAAAATCCGTCACTCGAAAAACCAAAAAAAAAGTCTAAATTACACACTGAACAAGAAATCAAATTCAGGCGAGAGCCAGCAAAGAGCCTAGCTAGATCAGTCCCGAAACGCAAGACGGCCGAGGGCAGTGTCCGCCGAGTATCTCTTCCCACGAGGTTCACTTAGATTAGTGGCAGCGGATAGAGGCCGAGAGAGAGGACGGCGGCGCAGCAACGGCGCGCGACGGCCGAGTAACATATTCTTGCATTTCGTCCTGTTTCTTGCAGAGTCGGACAATGAAAGCGTACCATCGCCGGTAAAGCCGCAGCCGAGGGTGCCTTACTGCAAGACCTACGAAGAGATCAGGCTGGAGGAGATCCAGGCCGAGAGCGCGGCGTATTACTCGTACCAGATGGAAGACCATCGGGGCGTGGTCAGGCCGTGCGAGCCCGCGAAGCCTCCGGCCTGCCCCCGAAACGGCGACAAGAGCCTGAACTTCGAGGTGCTCAGCCTAGAAGAGATCCGCCGGAGAAAAAGGCGCAGAGAGGGCGTGGCAAACTCGGGATCGCCCAGGGACACGTCCACTGACACGCCCACGGACACGCCCAGGGACACGCCCAGGGGAGTGAAGCGGACGCTGGAGGAGTGTGACTCCGGCAGGTGCAAGGTCAGGGGTCATGGGACCGTCCTGACCAGCGCGCCGCCGGTGAAGCTCAGGAGGTCCCCTAAGAGGATCACTTCCGACGAAAAGTGCCGCAAGGATGAGGCCTGCAAGCCTCCGGAGAACGTCGAGGACGGTTGCACGAAAGTTGGCCTGCAGAGGCTGGGCCCCGAGGAGACGACAGTCGCCAAGAGGAACGTGGAGGTCAGGCTCTGCGACAGCAGCACTGACGAGGACCAGAGCCTGGTGGAGACCAGCGAGGAGAGGAAGGCTGGCAACCAGGCCAAGGACGTGGCCTGCGATAGCCTGTTGAGTGTGAACGAGGAGGACTACTTGACGCTCGACATGGCGTCCGACGATATTCTCAAGGACATTGACGCGCTCCTGAAGGAGAAGACCTCGGTCTGAGGACGGAGGC